ACAAAGTTACTAACTGGCACAGTTACCCTAACAAAAATAAATGGGAAATTATTTCCAAAATTATAACATCTTGATGATTTGCCCCCAAAAAAAAGAGAAAAAAAAAGGGGGGGAAATGAGGTGTCCATAAATTGGGCTAACAATTAGGCGAAGGGTTGCCTAACGTGGGGGACTTAAAAACAAGTTCAAGGAAATCCCCAAAATAAGAGATTATTGTTGTTTATAATAATTACGTCTACGTCAAAATGTTTTCTTGCCAATACTTTTGGGGATTTCCTGGAACTTGTTCGAGTCTCCCACTTTAGGCAACCCTTCAGCTACTTTTAAGACCAATTTACGGACACTTCGGTTTTTTCCCCCGTTTTTGTTTTCTGTGCACATCACAATATCACATATCACAATGTTATCATTTTTCACATGAAGTTCATAATTTTCCATAAATTGTTAATAGGGTAACTTTGCCAGTAAGCAACATGGTGAATTTGAAGCTCATCAATACTGAGGTTTGGCAAGACTACTTGCTGATATTTGGAGACAAGGTAAATGCGCGCAACTTTAGGGTATAATAGAAGCCATTTTGGATTGTTACTATGTCCTCATAATTATTCAGTCACTTATATGCTTTAGAAAATGTTATTGAAGTAAGGATGTGTAAGTAGAATCACCAAAATATACTTTTCAAAAAATAAAAACACAAAAAGTTAACCCAAATATGGGAACAAATATATTACACGGCAAGTATTTACGATTTATGCAAATCAGGTACCCTTCCCAAAAGAATTTCAGGTGTCACCCCTTCTAAATATCTTCTCTGGGGCTATAAGAATCTTTCTGCCAAGTTTGGTGCTTTGGACCAGTCGGTCATGATTTTGTCAAAAATTGGGTCTAAGCCACCTGACTATAAACAAAGCTCTTCCACATCTCCCTAGATAAATTCTTTAAGTGGCATGATCACCTCTTATCCTGGCATTAAAGTCACCACAAAAAAATAAGCTTTTCAGCTTCTGGGACATCTTAAATCATGTGATCAAACAATTTGTTAAATTATTCATTGTTGAGAAAGAGTTAGTCATGGTAGGTGCATATGTAGTGAATAATGTCACAAAATACCCTCATTTGCATGGAGCTCACAGCTTCATAAGCCTGTTAGTCATACCTGTAGTTAAGAGGCTACCCAGTGAGTTGTCTGAAGCAATGCATTCTCTGGATTCACACCTTTCATCATTGTCTTTACATGTCCAGAAGAACATGTGCCCTGGAAGTTCCCTTGTTCTACAAACTAAGATTCAGGAAGGGCTGCAATCTTTACACCATATCTTTCCAAATTGCTGAATATTATATAGGGTCATTATTTAGTGTTATCACATTCCATCATTTTTTTGTATTCCGAAATACAAAAACAGCATCAAAAACGGCCTTCCCCCTCTCCCCCCCCCCCCCCCCCAAGATTTTGCCAGGCCAAAAAAAGTGCCCCTCTCGGGGTTATAATGTGCCCGTCGAGATAAAAACAAAACTGTCCCTCAAACGCCCACATGAAAGCATATGATCGCGCTACAAATAAAATTGTCTCCTCTCTTGTTACGGAAAACTGCCCCTCAAAAACATAAGTGCGCCTTGCGCATTAACAAAGTACCCCTCTAAAGCACAAATACCCCTCTCGCAATAATAAAATTGTGTCCCTCTCGAGATTGTGTTTACGCCCCAACCCTCTGCTCTCCCCCTGAGTCAAAAGACAAGTTCTACGAGGAGCTTGACACGGCCATCAGCACCATCCCAAAGAACGAGCACCTGTTCCTCCTGGGGGACTTCAATGCTAGGGTTGGCGCCGACCACGAATCCTGGCCAGACTGCCTTGGACACTTCGGAGTGGGGAGTATGAACGAGAATGGGCAGAGACTGCTAGAGTTGTGCTGCTATTATCAGTTCTGCATCACCAACACCTTTTTCCAGACTAAGCCATTGCACAGGGTCTCCTGGAGACACCCAAGATCCAAACGCTGGCACCAGCTCGACCTCATCACGAGACGAGAGGCACTCAACTTTGTCCACTTCACCCGCACTTTTCATAGCGCGGACTGTGACACGGACCACTCCCTCGTTCTCAGTAAGGTCAAGCTACAGCCCAGGCAGATCCACCATGCCAAGCAGAAGGCACGTCCCCGTATCAACGCCAGCCGCTCCATAAATCCAACTGTCACCCAGCTCTTCCCCACCTCACTTGATCAAGCACTCTCCTCCTCCAATCAGCAAAGTGCTGTGGACAAGTGGAACTGCCTGCGTGACACCATTTATGACCAAGCCCTCGCAGCATATGGCAAGAAAGTGAGGAAAAATGCAGACTGGTTTGAGGCCAATCGAGCGGAGATGGAGCCAGTTATTGAGGCCAAGCGTACCGCCTTCCTCAAGTACAACGATAATCCATTGACGAGGAACCTTGAGGCTCTTAGAAAAGCTAGGGGCAAGGCCCAGCAAACAGCACGACGCTGCGCAAACAACTACTGGCTCAAACTCTCCTCCAGCATACAAGCCGCCTCCGACACAGGTGACATCAGGGGCATGTTCGAGGGGATCAAGCAAGCCACAGGTCCCTCCATCAAAAAAACAGCGCCTCTCAAATCCAAGTCCGGAGAAGTCATCACCGACAGCAGCAAACAGATGGAAAGGTGGGCTGAGCACTACATGGAGTTATATGCCACAGAAAACACTGTCAGAGGAGGCTCTGAATGGCATCGCAAGCCAGCCTGTGATGGAGGAGCTTGACAAGGACCCCATGCAAGAGGAGCTCAGCAAAGCCATTGACAGACTCGCTTGCGGCAAGGCCCCAGATGCTGATGAGATAACACCTGACATCATCCAACTTGGGAAACCAACCCTTTTGCCATATCTTCACGACCTCCTCTGCCTTTGCTGAATGAAGGAGTCGTCCCCCAGGACATGCGTGACGCCAAAATCGTCACGCTGTACAAGAACAAGGGCGACCGCAGCGACTGTAACAACTACCACGGCATCTCTCTGCTCAGCACTGTGGGGAAGGTCTTCGCAGGCGTTGCCCTTATCAGGCTCCAGCTTCTGACGGAGCGTGTTTATCCTGAATCACAGTGTGGCTTCAGGGCAGCAAGATCCACGGTGGACATGATCTTCACCCTTCGACAACTGCAGGAGAAATGCCGTGAACAGAGGAGACCTTTGTATCTCGCTTTTGTCGACCTCACAAGGCCTTCGACCTTGTTAGCAGAGATAGTCTCTTCAAGCTGCTTGCAAAGATTGGTTGCCCTCCAAAACTTCTCAGCATCGTGACATCATTTCACAACAACATGCAGGGTTCAGTCTGTTGTGATGGAGAAACTTCAGAGGCCTTCCCAATCCACAGCGGAGTGAAGCAGGGCTGTGTTCTTGCACCGACCCTCTTCGGAATTTTCTTCTCTCTCCTGCTGTTGTTTGCATTTGACTCATCCCCTGAAGGCGTCTACCTACACTCAAGAGCTGATGGCAAACTCTTCAACCTTGCTCGCCTGAGGTCCAAGACGAAAGTGACCAGTGTACTCCTGAGGGAAATGCTATTTGCAGATGATGCAGCTCTAGCATCCCACACAGAGACAGGGCTCCAGCAGTTGGTGGACAGGCTCTCTTATGCATACAAGGAGTTCGCCCTCACCATCAGCATTAAGAAGGCCCATGTCATGGGCCAAGATGTCGAAACCCACCCTCCATCTCTATTGACAACAAGACCCTAGACTGTGTGGGCGCCTTTACGTACCTCGGATCAACAGTCTCCAGCAACCTGTCACTTGACGCAGAACTGAGCACCCGTCTTGCCAGGGCCGCCGCAGTGATGGCCAGGCTGGCAAAGAGAGTGTGGTCTAACAAGAACCTAACTGTGTGCACAAAACTCCAGGTCTACCAAGCATGCGTCATCAGAACTCTGCTATACAGCAGTGAGGCCTGGACCACCTACACCAGACAAGGACTTGAACTCCCTGTGGACTCCCATTATTGATTCTCCATCCAATACTACAGCTTGCTGTCTGGTAGTGATGAGCTAGTCCCTTCAATGCATTTGACCCCTAGTGCTGCAGTGTTCTAATTTTGTAAGCACTGTTGATGTGGTACTTTCTCAAATGCTTTTGCAAAGTCAAGGATCAGTACATCTTGCTGTGTGCCAGAATCCAGCTTTTTGTGGAGATCATCTGTGGTGGTTGTTAATTGGTTGTCACAGCTGTGCTTTTCCCTCAATCCATGTTGGTAGTGGACTAGTAAGTTGTAGTCATCAAGGTGATCCATAATTTGTGCGAATATGATGCGTTCTAACATCTTACAGGTCACTGAGGTAAGCGATACAGGCCTGTAATTTGATGGTGAATATTTATTTGCTTTCTTCCAGTCTTCAGGGATGTCGCAATATGAAATAGATTTTTGGAAGATGAATGCTAAAACTGGTGCGAGGATGTCACTGTGATCCGTCAGTATTTTTTGTATGAGATCAGGTGCAAATTATCCACTGGATGCACTGATTCTAAAATACTTGCTCTTAAAAAAAGTAAAACAAAAGAAACGTACAGTGTGAGATGCACATGAAAAGCTTAGTATTTTAGAAAAATTAGGGGGGAAACCTAACCAAATGACAACATAAATATTACCAAAAACCCTAACAGCAAATATCAAACATCATGTGTGGTGAGTTAAGGACCAGGATTAAATAATAAAAGTTCATACTCTTATATCAAGGCTAATCTCAGCCAGCATTACTCTTCATGTCTCACTGAAAGTCCCCCTTAAAAATGGGTATGAAGTATGTTGGATGTAATCAATTTGATTGAAATGTTAAAAGGTAACTCTAATTTACTATCACAGCAGCTCTCTCTCTCTTGCTTGTTATAAATCGAAAGTACTGTCTTTACTTGTTTTGAATCAGCATGGTCAGTGACATCATATTGTGTGGGATTTTCAATAAATCAAACATTCATGCATCATTCTTCTTAATCTTACTTTTATTGAAAAAGGTATCACCGGATTCAACGTAAAGGCAGGACCAAAGAAGAGGCAGGTAAACTCAGAGAGAGAGTAAAAGCTGGACCAGAAGAAGCAAATGAGCTACTCTTAAACTTTGACAAAGCAAGAGCAAAGGTAATTGACTAAACTAGCCAGCCGTGTTGCCGTGTAACTGCCGGCCACATGCAGTCAAAGCTAATGTGTATAACCAGTATTAATATATAAAACAGTGAGAGTAATACTGTGAGAGTTCAGTTGTGCCAGTTTGACAGTGACAAGAGGGTAAAAAATCCTCTGTTTTCACTTAAAACGATATGCTGTTAATGGGACATTTTATTGAATATAGGGCTCGTTCAATGACGACCATCTTTGTAGGAGAACTGCAACTGCATATTTTACGCAATCAAGCATGCATTGCGCAAAATGTTCCAAACACTCGTGCTTGTTGCTCGAAACGTGTTCGAAATACGACGCAGCCGATGCGCGTTATGCAAGTTGACGCTCAAAATGCCGATGCACTAAAACATAAAAATTGTATTTATACATGATTGATTCTCTAAGTGCAAAATTTGAAGTGAGAGTTGAGTTGCGCACATGAAAAAAATGCATCCATATTGCCCATTTTATCAGTAAAAATGCCATCTGGCCTTAGTAAAGTTTTTGGTCTCCTAGTTCTTTTGAACATATACGTAGCAGTTGTATAGACTGGTTCCCGCAAAATATCGTATATCATGTATATAAGGGAAGATCAGACACTAGGTATCTTTTCGTACAGTGACCCATGAAATACGATGAAGTCATTAATATGGGCTATTGGGAAGGGCGCCCCTAGCGTTGGGTAGGTAAATGCGTATGAGGCTACATAAGTACAACATCAGATGTAAAATGCGAGCGTGATTTTTATTGATGAAGGAGAACAACAAATTGAAAAAGATGAAGAAATGAAGAGACAAATAAAGGAATAAATAAATGAAAAAAATATAAAAAAATAAAGGAATGTATAAATCAATTAATGGGGAATAAATGTAGACCTATCAGTGAAAATAGTAACATGTTGAGATTTAGCAGTTCTTATCAATATCAGAGAATACAATGACATTTAAGCTATCAAGGAGGGGGGGGGAGGGAGGAGACTGGGCAGTGCAACCAATAAGGACTCTAGTGGCGATTGCTTCAAAAGTCTACAACTTTCCCGAATTTGTTCAAATATGGAAACTACATGTAGCTTCAAATTTTCAGCTTTGCTATCATTAAGGTATTTTGGTAAATGTCCTGACACCCTGACATTTTTTAGACAAAACTAAGCCTTGAGCATGAAAGTTCATTTCCAGGCCCATTATTATATCAATTAAATAAAAGATACCTTTTTGAGACTTTGATTACAGAACTCGTATCAGGAGCTTGCGACACCATCACGGTGTCTTTGTCAACTGGTGTTGTTGAGGCCCTCACGTGACCCGTCACGTGACCAAGCTTGGTCAGACGACAGGAGGCGGTCGTAAACGTCGGCCAGCACGTACCCTCCATCTCTGTTCATATGGGGGTGGTGTCTGCGGATTTCAACGGCCTCGCGGATTTTGCGTTTCCAGAGGTCGTCATCCCTGGCGATAATCTTGACATTGTCCACGAAGATGCTATGTCGGGGGTGGATATATGTTCACCAACTGCTGTAGGGGGGGCTGACCTACTGGTGTGTTCTCTGTATTGGGTCTGCAGAGTGTGAGCTGTTTCCCCGATATATGTGTCTTCACAACCATCACACGACATCTGGTATACGAGGCCAAATTTCTTGAGGTCTGGAGTCTTATCTTTCAGGCTGATCAACTGGGAGCGAAGAGTGTTAAACGGTTTGTGTGCTACCATGACACCGTGTTCACAAAACACACACTCCAGCTGTTCAGACAAATCTCGGATGTATGGGAGAATGGCCATAGGCTGTTGCTTCGCATTGGTGATCGCCTTGGAGGCAGCTCCAGTTGTTTGTTTCTTTTTAGGGATCTTGAATGCCCATGGTTGGTACCTGTTGGCAGTGAGAGCGTTTTTGACGTGGTGAAGTTCAGTCTCACGGTCCTCCTTGTCTGTGATGACTTGGTCGATCCGGTGGCAAAGAGTGCGAACCACGGACCTCTTGTGTGCCAGGTGGTGATTGGACCCAAAGTTCAAATATTGATCGGTGTGAGTCGGCTTCCTGTAGATGGTTACTTTGGTTGATCCGTCACTTTGATGTGAACGCAGGTGTCTAGGAATGGAAGTTTGGAATCTGTCTCTGGTTCCATAGTAAACCTGATGTTTGGATCGATGCTGTTGATATGTTGGGTGAAACCTTGGATGGCTAACTCCTATATCTCCACAAAGGTATCGTCCACATAGCGGTACCATCGGTTTGGAGGGGTAGGAGCAGTAGACAATGCTGGACGTTCAAAATCCTCCATGTAAAGGTTGGCAACCAGTGGGGATACAGGGGAACCCATTGCAGTCCCATGAGTTTGCTGGTAGTAAGTGCCATCATACACAAAGTATGTAGTGTCCAAACAGAAGACCAGCATCTTAATGATCTGCTCAACCGACATTTGGGTGCAGGTATGGGGAGAGTCGTCATTTTCGAGTGTGTGTCTGACCACCCTGACAGCGTCTTCGACAGGGATGCTTGTGAACAATGCAGACACGTCGTATGACACAATCTTGCGACCTGGTGGAACTTCGTGGTCTGTGATCTTGTTCACAAAATCAGCAATCAATGCATGACACAATGGGGCGGAGGGGGGCGCCATTTTTATGGATTTTAGGCAAGCCGTACAGTTTAGGTACCTCCTCCGTAGTTGGGTATATTTTGTGGTACAGAACCGCAGGCAGGGGGTTCGAACCTTTCTGCCACTTCCTCAAAATTGCAATCATTTTGGATTTAAACTTTGATGTGGGATCTCTCTTTAGTTTACAATAAGTGTTACTGTCACTCAATAAACCTGTGATCTTACGGTGATAGTCTTCACTGTTCATCACCACGGTCACTCTCCTTTATCAGCTGGTACTATCTTGATTGATTTGTCCTTTTTCAAATCCTGGATAGCGTTGAACTCAGTTCAAGGAATGTTTTGTTTTGGTAACTTGGCCTTGGATATCTTTTTGACGACTGTGGCTCTGAGACTCTGTGCGGTGCTGGGGTTTGTAATCCTGTGACATACCTGTTCCGTATTTACGATCAAATCTTCTATTGGGAGTTTACGTGGTGTCACTGCAAAGTTCAAACCTTTCCCTAGGATTGATCGTTCTTCTGGTTTGAGAGTCCTGGACGAAATATTAACCACCAGTCTGTCCGTGTTAATGGTCGATTTGTGATGCACCCAGATGTTTGATCCGTTTGTTGTTTTTGTTTGATGAGTCGGTCAAACTTTTCACGCTGGCGAGTTCGTGTGGATGAACATTTTGCGTTTCCAGAGGTTGTCCTCCCTGGCGATGATCCTGGGGTGGATATATGTTCACCAAGTGCTGTAGGGGGGGCTGACCTACTGGTGTGTTCTCTGTATTGGGTCTGCAGAGTGCGAGCTGTTTCCCCGATATATGTGTCTTCACAACCATCACACGACATCTGGTATAAGAGGCCAAATTTCTTGAGGTCTGGAGTCTTATCTTTCAGGCTGATCAACTGGGAGCGAAGAGTGTTGAACGGTTTGTGTGCTACCATGACACCGTGTTCACAAAACACACACTCCAACTGTTCAGACAAACCTCGGATGTATGGGAGAATGGCCATAGGCTGTTGCTTCGCATTGGTGATCGCCTTGGAGGCAGCTCCAGTTGTTTGTTTCTTTTTAGGGATCTTGAATGCCCATGGTTGGTACCCGTTGGCAGTGAGAGCGTTTTTGACGTGGTGAAGTTCAGTCTCGCGGTTCTCCTCTTCTGTGATGACTTGTTTGAAACCTTTCCCTAGGATTGATCGTTCTTCTGGTTTGAGAGTCCTGGACGAAATATTAACCACCCATCTGTCCGTGTTAATGGTTGATTTGTGATGCACCTCAGATGTTTGATCCGTTTGTTGTTTTTGTTTTTGTTTCGTGTGGACTCAAACATGGCGTCGTGTTTTTGCGGCAGATAGGTCATGACTTCTGCTAGTCCAGTGACGTCATCCGCCCGGAGCGCTGTGGTGACTTTGTTGAGTTCTTTTTCACATTGATTTTCCAGGCATTTTAGCATGAAAATACACTGGTTGACTCGTTCAGTTAAGAGTTTTCTCTCTGCTGTGTGTAGAATCTTGTCTGCTTTGGCCCCATTGACATTAGATGTCAGTTTAATGCTTCGTGGAATGATGTCACACCGCAGGCACCGGATATTGAAGAGCCGGTGGTTTTTCCAACTCGCCAATTTACGATCGATGTTTTCAGCGTAACGGAGGGCTTTGAGGGCCTCAACAACACCAGTTGACAAAGACACTGTGATGGTGTCGCAAGCTCCTGATACGAGTTCTGTAATCAAAGTCTCAAAAAGGTATCTTTTATTTGATACTAAGCCTGTTCAATATCCATTTATTTTTAAATCCCAATATCATAAAATAAATATCGGATATCGCGATATTATCGTGATGGCGTCATTTTTCCATTCATGGAACAATTGAAACATTAAAAAACACTACCGAAGTCACCACTGCATCGTGAGAGCTGCGTAAAATAACCCGATAGTCCCAATGGTCCGAATATGTCCTAAACAAAATTGTCTATTTATTTGACTAGTCTCATAAACTTTGCCAAGTAGAAAACAAATTCCACATTCAGAAATCGTAAAAATTTACCTTGAATACATTTTGGTTGTTGGGATGTTCGAAAAAATAACTCGAAATCCGCATTTTTTTCTCATCACAAAAAAGTGGAGGGGATAATTCAATAGCCCATCCCTCCCTGGTCAAAAAGTGAGGGGGGAAGGGGGGTTGGGTATATACCCCATCCCCCCCCCAGGATTTACACCCCTGCAATCGCTTAACAAATGTTGTTTGGCCCCGAATTTGGTGCTCTTTTTGTCATACAGACACAAATGGACGGCGACCTCTATAGTCATATTGGCATGTAGGGAGTTCCCTTTTCAGATGCAATCACAGCGTGTGTACGTGCGTTTGTTTATGGTGTAAATTGAGGACACATGTGCAACATTATCAATGAATTGAGGACAGGAACCAAATCGAGGATTCCTCGGTTAAAAAAAGTGTACAAAACCAATGAGAGCTGTTGCAAAAAAGTTAAGAGTATAAACAAAGGAAAAGGGAAGAGGAACAATAGAAAATCCTTGATACACCATGAACAAACGTGCTGGTATGCGTGTATGTACGTGCGAATGTATACACGTACACACGTTGTACGTACGTAAGAGAGAGGACCCCCGGGGCCGCAATCGCTTAATAAAGATTGAAAAAATCTAAGTTGGACCAAGCCTCACCCACTCAACGAGTTTAAGTGCCTAGCGACCTGCCACTTCGGAGAATAAGCCCGGACAAACATCTAAACATCCAAACAGGGACTTGCATGTTATTATATAGATTAACCAAATCAAATAATGGTCACATGTTGTTATAGGCCATACCTTATTAAAAACATACATCAGCAAACATTAAAATATCTTAATGCTTCATTTTTGGTGAGCTGCGAAGCAGATGCCAGCCTATGTAATACCCATTTCCGTCCGTCTGTCCGGGCGCCCGTCCGGGCGTTCTGACCATACCCCCCTTGTGGGGTGATGTTCCTTTCAGGACACATCACCCCACTATTTTCACAATAGAAAAACATCACCCCAGAAGAGAATCTTTAGAAAAAGGGATAATGGGAACACAATGCTATCACCCCACAATTCCGTCTGGCTGGAACGTCCGTCCGCGTTCAGATAAAAATGTTGAAGTTTTTGGTTCTAGTTAACTTGGGGAAAAAAATTAAATGCAGTTGTCATGACTCATGTATCATCTCTATAACTTCAGTTAGGTTCATATCATTGCAGTAAATTTTATGATTTTATTGAGGAACTTTAATTCAAGAAAATGTTAAAGTTTTTAATTGTTACATGTACATGTATACTTGTATAACATATACATGTGTGTATACCGGTATAACATGTACATGTACACTATGCATTTGGGGGATGTGCATGAGCTTCTGGTTTGATCTTTTAGTTTATGGGGTTGGGGTGGGGTGGGGTGGGTTGAGGAATAGGGGTTGGAGTTAGGGTTTGTGTGAGTAGGATGAGTAGGGGAGCTAGGATGGGTGGGGCGCGGTGGGTTGGGGTGGGGTGGGGTGGGGAGAGGGGTTGGAATACTGGGTTTGGGTGGGGTGGGGATTTGTAGGGGTGGGGTGGGAACAGGTAGGGGGAGACAGGTAGGGAGAGGATTGGCATGGATGGAGGGGTTGGGTTAGGAGGGGGTTGGGCAGGGGTTGGGATATAGGATCGGAGTAGGGGTTGGGTTGGGGATGTGTAGGGATGGGTAGGGATGGGTTGTTGTAGGGGTTGCATAAGGGGAGGGGGCAGTACCCGGTATATAGGGATCAGAGTAGGGGTTGCACAGGGTCAGGTTGGGATGTATGGGTGGGGGAATGGGGTGGGCGGGATATTGGAATTCGAGTAAGGGTTAGGGTGGGGATGTGTAGGGTGGGTAAGGACAGATAGGGGAAGATAGGGTAGGTGGGTGTAGGGGGTTGGGGTAGGGGAGGGTACGGGTCAGGGGAGGGGGAAGGAGATAGGGATTGGAGTTTGGGTGGGGTTTGGATGTGTAGGTGATAGGGTGGGGATGGTTAGGGGAGGATGGAATGGGTGTGGGTAGGGGGTTGGGTGGGGGAGGGGGAGGGGGCGGGTTGGGGATGGGGTAAGGTTTTTGGATGGGGTAAGGTTTAGGGGAGGTGGTGATGGTGCTGTGTCTACATGTACATGTACGTGTATACCCATTCTTGTTCTGCATTTGTGGCGACTACACAAGAGTTTTCCCATGGTAATACAAGAATGGGGAGCAGAAGACACTGTTGGGACTGCAAAAATCCACAACTGGGTCCTAATTACCCTAACAATGGAAAACTCCCCCATAATACAGTGACGGCTAACCTATATACACATGTATTTATTAGGTAATCTGTTGACTTTTTATGTTGACATTTAAAAACTGACCCCTACACCTAGGCACATCAACAAGAATCCTGATCCCCTTCCATCATGCCCATCCCCCAACCCTACCTTCAGCCTCCCTTCCTGCCTTGGACAGCGAGCCATGGCGGCTTCGCCGTTCTAGTTTCAATTTACATTCAATGCATATGACATGTTCTGTTACAGGAACGAGTGACTCTCAAGCATCGTAATACTGGAAAGTGGGCAAAAGGATTAATGCGGTTTGGGAAGTATGACCATACTGTAAGTTCCTTTCTGCATATTATTGTACATGATATAGTAACAATGCATTCCCAAGGAATTGATAACTAACTAGCATGACAGGTGTTTTGTTGACAAATAAAACCATTCTTGCCTGGAAATAAGTGAGCTATTGCAAACATTGGGGTGTCAATGAATAAGTATTCAGGAGACTTTGGGACATTTTTGGTCATGTGGCATGAGGCCCTACCATTCCTAAAATTGGTCAGAAGAAGTAGGAATCTTTTGGTTTGGAAATCAGTGTTGTTGAAATATCAATATCTTAGCTGTATTACAAGTTGAAAATAATATTAAGACTTAGGTTACATTCACATGTATGTATGCTTGTATAATTCTGCACATGTACATGTGGTCACTACATAATAAGCAATGTTTATGAATTCAGTATAAATGTCAGTGTTGTAGGATTTTTGCACAAATCCTTTTTTTTTCAGGCAAGACTTTTTAGAATGTGTCTTATTGCTTCTTTAATTGGAGGAAATTTGTATTGATTTTTATTGAATGAGGAGGTCAGTTTATCAATATTAGAATAGTCTATTTAAGGAGCTTGTGTTATTGTTACAGCACCTTAATTCACTTAAATATATGGCCTATCCCCTTTGTAACAAAATTACATTATGTTACTCATGCACTGCATGCCCTGCTAAATATCAAATCTGATTGGATCCCCTTTGCTTTTTCCAGTAGGTTGTAGTCAATGCAGACTTTATACCTAAATTGTGACACATTTCAGGGACAAAAAAATCTGTGCTTGAAGTCCACTAGCAAATGTACATTGCAAAGGAATATCATATTTTGCAACAAGTATGCCAACTTTGAGATGAGTATCAGACCCTTTTTTGTATTCAAGATCACTGTGGGTACTGAAACGTTTTTCAATGGAATTTGTTTTTGGTTTGTCCATTTTTTGTATCTATCCATCAAATTTGTATGATGAATTGTTAAAGTAACCAGGAAAATCTACATAATTTCTTTGTCACAGGCTCGCAATCTGTTAGCTAAGCAGTTGCAAAAGAGTTATGAACTTACCACAAAAATGGCAGACGTCCATGATGAAGAAGATAATGAATGCAAGGAGGGTTCCATGCATGTCAGTCAAGTTGGTAGCAGTGGAGACAATTCCACAACCCATATGTCATGCAGTGACATCAATAATCCGTGGTTTACTGGAAGCATCGGCAGCCATCAAGACGCTGAGGATCATTCCAAGATTGTTACTTTGGAGCCTGTTTCTAGTCATGTGAAGCAAAAACAAAAGGAATCGGACAATGACTCTTACATATCTGATGAAAGCATAGATAACAGGTGTGAAAAAAATGAGGACGAGATATTCACAGACTTCATAAAACCCAAGTTGAGGCAAGAGGATGAGCAGTCTTATCCATTGGAATTGAATGTACATCATGGACAGCCTGTTGTTACAGTTCAGTCTAAGCACAAAGTTAAACATACTGATGGGATTGCCTCTCTTAAGACGAATCCTAAAGACTTGTCTCCCCTTGATAGAGGTCATGAAAACCCTGTCCTTCACAAACAAGAAAAAGATAAGTATTTGGCCAAAATGCCAATAGCTACGTCAACAGGCATTCATTCTGCTGCTCCTGATCTTATTGTCTGTGAAGATCAGGTACTGGAGAAAACAAAACAGCATCTCTTGAACATTCAAGAGGCATTTGCTGAAGATGACATTGTCAAGGTTTTTCAAGAGGAAAAACAGGAGCATATTGATCGTGACAAACCAAAGGATGTGGACTTGTCATTGCCAGGTTGGGGAGATTGGGGAAGTGCTGGAGTAAATCCTTCCAAGAGGAAAGTTAAGAGGTACATGTTATGCATTATCAATTTAGCGTACAATACATTAGGACCAAAGAAACAAAATCAAAAGTGTTTTTGTTGTGTAGATCAATCATCACATGCACAACCTGCAGGAAATTAATCTGCTGAAGGTTCAAGGGCAACTGGACATGTCATCACTGTCAAAAGCTCCTTTATAAGAGATAAATAGCACTTCAAATTTACTACAGATTCATGGAGAAATTTACTGAGGAATATTGTGGACTGTTTCCTTATTCCGTAAAGGTTGTTTGCATATTATAAAAGAGCTAAAATGTGCACAACCCAATATTAAAAATAAATTACTAGTTTATCTGAATGAACAAAATAGTTGATTTTGGCAGGCAACAATAATTTTCTAATTACTTAAAAACATTTATAGTTTCACAAATGTTTGTCATGTAACACAATTACTTTCATGACATAGATTTCGAAAGAAGAAAACTCCTGGACAAGCACGGCGTGATGAGAATTTGCAACATGCTCTTATTAGTGAGGCCAGAAATACGAAAATAGCAGTACATCAGGTAAGTGGTGCAATACAAGCACACAGTAGTTAATTCTTGATATTCAGAATAGCTTACATCAGTAGGAAACGGTTTCTTTCTTTTTTAATGTGCACCCATACTCGGTACAGTAGAATGCTGCTATAAATAAAACCACTACACCAAACATTCTGCTATACCAAACATTGCTTTTGGCACCCAAATGTATGTACAACTAGAGGTTCGCATTTGTAGAGTTACAAATGCAGAGTGGTCAGGCAGAGAACTATTTCATTAAACTGTGCCTAGTTAAGTTATGAATATTTTTATGCCAGAACAAAGGATCACAAAATTTTACCTTTCCAGTACAACCAATTATTTTGTTTAAAAAAAAAATGCAGCTGTTAAAGTATGATAAATTTCAGTATACATTTTATGTACACTTAAGTTATTTCTGGTTTGATGACGTCATCAGTCAAAAAAGGGGAAACAAATACTGATTTAGTTCAGAGAAGATACATGTGCATTATGAAGTTAAAATAATGTATGAACATTTTGAAAATATAAGTGAATGTATTACTTACGTAAATTCTCCATGTTGTGAATTGTTGCAATTCTTCATGGCCAGTTTCTTCTTGAAATACAATGGGTATCTTTTGGATAGAAATTTGGTAAACTTCAGTAGTTTTCTCCAACTTTTTCCAGTAGTCGTGCTGACAAGATCTGTTTTGGGTGAAGAGCAGTATTTTCATCCACTGATCGTTGCTCATTCATGTGACGTAACCGACATATTGCAACATTTGTACCTCACAGTATTGGTCTGAGGTTGAGGTTTTGCCAATGCGGTGTAGATCAAGGTTGGAATATTTATACGAGTAGTCGTATTCTGAAGTAGGTTCACACGACTGGTTTGGGACAGGTTTTTTCCTTATACTTGGAATTTCATTGGATGGATTTTACCACCATGGCCACCACGCTGAAAACTGTTGTGAATCATACGGTGGAGGAAACCAGTGTAAATCGCCTGGAGTTTGTTTATTTCACCTTGGGTAAGGTCCCACGATTGGACACCGCAGAATAGTCCACTGGGGACATGCGCCTCAAGGTATTTGACGCGGAGGGAGAGTTTCAGGTATTTATTGGTAAAGATGTGTATTAGTTCAGACCACTTAGCTTGGGCTGCGGTGATGGGAGCATCAAGGTAGATGGCAGCTTGATTGGTCACCATCTGGCCAAGATACCTGAACTTGGTTACATTTTTGATGACGTGATTTTGAACGTTGAACAGCGACTTGGATTTCATTGTTTCAAGAGGGGTGTTGAAAGACATCGTTTCCGTTTTAGAAGTAGAGATATTCAGGCTGAAATGAGAAGCAGTCGCATTAGGTAGTGAGGAAATCTTGCAGTTTAACAGCTGAGTCAGTGAAAACAACCATGTCGTCAGCATAGAGTAGAAATTGCAGCCTTTTTCTTCCAGCGGCGGGGTGGTCTCGTCGATTTGTTCGGTGTGTACACTCGTTTTGTGAAGTGAACTTGATGTCAATACCAATTCCCTCTGGGTGTAGCTTCTCGTAATCGAAGATGATGACTTTAATCACAAAATCAAAATAGAGATTGAACAAAACGCACGATTCTAGACCTTGTCAACAACCTGATGTATCTTTAGACTCATTCGCACCAGCTATTATGACGGTAATGTTGGTGTACAGAGATTTGAGGACATTTGAGAGTTTCTCAGATTAGATTGTATGTGTGATGACCCTTAAGAGGAGACCTTGAGGGATGTGGTCATATGTAGCTCGCAGATCAATAAATGCTGTAAAAAGAGGGGATCGGACCTCATCAATTGTGTGTCGCAGGACGAAGAGAGCATCAGTCGTAGATATATTCCACATAAAGCCAAACTGAGTGTTGGAAATGATTTTATTGTATATATCTTCGATCCGGGTAATTACAATGCGGGGGAGAACTTTTGATAAAGTGGCACAACTGGCACCTATTGATAATCCTCGGTAGTTGGCAGCGTCAGAGCAGGAGCCTTTTTTCCACAGACAGCAGAGTCTGCTCTTCACCCACTGAGCTGGAGCCAGTAGGGTAGTCCAAATTGTTGCCATCAACAATATAAGGTGTCTGAATAGGGCGGGAGATGAGTTGTACCTGAGCGATTCACTGAACAGTCTGTCTGTACCGACACAGCGGTAATTATTCAACCGTTTGGTAGCCCGTCTGATTTAATCTTCGTCTGGGGGACTTTTCCTAACTGACAATTAAAGTAAAAACAAATATAAAAACTGCAAAGTTGATTTTTCAGGAATTTTCAAATGAAAAAGGGTCTTTTTATTATAACTTCCGGTCTGATGACGTCATTCGCCTAAAACTTCGCACATGTCTTAAGTGGGTCAAGGTCATCATATACACCAATATTTAGGCGATTCCGACAAACTTCGCCACAGACATCTATTCAAAATACATTTTTGCTAATTTTCAACCTGTCGCTAGAGGGCGCTCGAAGATTGCAAGACGTCATCGGTAGATGATTTGAAGAATACTATCGGCCAAGAGACTAACAACGTTGAAAGCAAGTTCATTTCTATTACCATTTTCAAATAATAAGCCACTTCCGGTTTGGGCCTTTTTCGACCGGAAGCAAGGGTCACGTGATTGCACGCACACTGAATGAAATGAAGACCTCAACCTGCTCTACCACTTGCCGGCAACAGAATGCTGCGGACGCGTACGGTTGATTTCTTATGCATTTTTAAATATTAAAAGTCACAATTTAATTGCCTATAAATAAACACCTGATGACGTCATCATGACGTCATCATTCCACAATGTTGTTTGAATTAGGGTCTTTGCTTGGACAAAGATTGGTGTAAATGAATTACTGGCAAAGAGTCAAAAATGCCCTTTGAAAATCGACAATTATTTTATAATTTCTGTGTACAAAGTCTATGGGAAAAATTAAATATTCAAAAATCTATAATAAATTAGTCGATGACGTCACCATGACGTCAATCTTCGGGACACATCTTTGCTATAGGGACTATGCTTATGCTAACTTTGAATGATGTATGACAAAGATTAATGCCAAAAGTGGTGGGCAAAAAAAACGTGTACAAAGTGTATGGGGTTTAGGCGACAAAAAGAAGAAGCCAACTAGAAGTCTATGTCTGTTTGCAACAGAACATAGGGCTTTTCCGCATTATGATTTTTTTTAATCAATAATATTCACTGAATATGCATGAACATAAAATCTGTCAAAGTTAGTCGAAAAATCGGCTAAAACGGTCACTGTGGAAAGGATTTGACCTCGGCAATACGATGTATGTGCGTGTGTACAAGGTCTTTGCTTGGACAAAGAGTGATCTAAATAAATTACTGGCAAAGAGTCGAAAACGCACTTTGAAAATCAACAATTATTTTAAAATTTTTGATGACGTCATCGTGACGTCATTTCGAACTTTGCATACTAGTATGATTAACTACCTACCCATCAAGTTTCATGACAATTGGACCTTTCCTTATATGAGTTTTGAAAAATCGCATTTTGATGACGTCATGATGACGTCACACATTTTTCAAGTTTTGTGCCAATAGCTATTACATAAAAGACCAAATGCAAAAAAGAATTTTGCATTTTGCATGTTGCGTTCGGGAGATATGGCTTAAAGGTCCAAAAAAATAAATATTCATATAAAATCTCAGGATGACGTCATCATGACGTCACCTCATTTTTAATCTATAACACTTCCTGGTATAGCCACATACCAAGTTTCAACCCAATCGGACTTACATTTCTGTAGATATAAGACTTCACAATATGTACGTATATTTTCAAAATTCAATAAAAAAATTAGGTGATGACGTCATCATGACGTCATAGTCTTGGCATAATTTTTGTATGAGGGTCTTCCTTGGCTGTAACTTTGATGACGATTCCAGATCGCCAAGTTATAAAAATGGTGGCTTGAAAACGTGTACAAAGTCAATGGGTTAAAAATCCCACAGCAGAAAAACTGCACCTTTAAATACGTGATTTGCCTTTAAACTGAAACATTTTTATAAAATATTACTTGGTATTCTGACTCTTGGGAATATTTACAATCAAATGGCAAAGGTAAAAAAAATACGATTTCTTTTTCCTTCTCATAGTAATTCTCAGCCGAAGTTCAGAACTACTCAGTAAGATATATCAGTGTTGTATAGGAAAAGACTTGTGGAAAAAGCTGTGTACAAAGTCTATGAGAAAAATTAATTATTCATGAATCCATAATAAATCACTTGATGATGACGTCATCATGATGTCATAGTCTTGGCATAATTTTTGTATGAGGGTCTTCCTTGGCTGTAACTTTGATGACGATTCCAGATCGCCAAGTTATGAAAATGGTGGCTTAAAAAAGGGGAAAAGTCAATAGGTTAAAAATCCCACAGCAGAAAAACTGCACCTTTAAATGCGTGATTTTCCTTTAAACTGAAACATTTTTATAAAATATTACTTGCTATTCTAACTCTTGGGAATATTTTCAATCAAATGACAGGCGTAAAAAAATACGATTTCTTTTTCCTTCTCATAGTAATTCTCAGCCGAAGTTCAGAACTACTCAATAAAATATATCAGTGTTGTATAGGGAAAGACTTGTGGAAAAAGCTGTGTACAAAGTCTATGAAAAAAATTAATTATTCATAAATCCATAATAAATCACTTGATGACGTCACCATGACGACACTCTTCGGGACACATCTTGGCAATAGGGACTATGCTTATGCCAACTTTCAATGATATCTGACAAAGATTAATGCCAAAAGTGCTATAATACGTCACTGTCTATGCACATGCATGAACATAAAATCTGTCAAAGTTAGCCGAAAATCGGCTAAAACGGTCACTGTGGACAGGATTTGACCTCAGCAACACGTGCGCTGCAGGCTGACTGACATATGATGTATGTGCCTATGTACAACGTACGTGCATGTATATGTACGTGTACATTGTGGACGTCGTGTCCTGTGCCTGTTTTGAAGCAGAGGTATTGTCAACGTGAAGTTTTAAGCGTGCGCAGGGTATGTTCGAGTTCGCTTATCGCCTCGAAACTTTGAAATGTTTTAGACCTACCCTTCAATCAACAATTAAAGTCAAAACAAATATAAAAACTGCCATGGTTGATTTTTCAGGAATTTTCAAATGAAAAAGCGTCTTTTCATTATAACTTCCGGGGGGTCTGATGACGTCATTCGCCTAAAACTTCGCACACGTCTTAAGGTGGTCAAGGTCATTATATACACCAATATTTAGGCGATTCCGACAAACTTCGCCACAGACATCTATTCAAAATACATTTTTGCTAATTTTCAACCTGTCGCTAGAGGGCGCTCGAAGATTGCATGACGTCATCGGTAGATGATTTGAAGAATACTATCGGCCAAGAGACTAACACCGTTGAAAGCAAGTTCATTTCTATTACCACTTTCAAATAATAAGCCACTTCCGGTTTGGGCCTTTTTCGACCGGAAGCAAGGGTCACGTGATTGCACGCACACTGAATGAAATAAAGACCTCAACCTACTCTACCACTTGCCGGCAACAGAATGCTGCGGACGCGTACGGTTGATTTCTTATGCATTTTTAAATATTAAAAGTCACAATTTAATTGCCTATAAATAAACACCTGATGACGTCATCATGACGTCATCATTCCACAATGTTGTTTGAATTAGGGTCTTTGCTTGGACAAAGATTGGTGTAAATGAGTTACTGGCAAAGAGTCGAAAATGCCCTTTGAAAATCGACAATTTTTTTTAAATTTCTGTGTACAAAGTCTATGGGAAAAATTAAATATTCAAAAATCTATAATAAATTAGTCGATGACGTCACCATGACGTCAATCTTCGGGACACATCTTTGCTATAGGGACTATGCTTATGCTAACTTTGAATGATGTATGACAAAGATTAATGCCAAATGTGGCACTGAGAAAAAACGTGCACAAAGTCAATGGACTTTGAAGTGGAACAAAAAGAAGAAGAAGTAAGAAAAAAAAAAACCAGAACAAAAAGAAAGGCTTTTCCGCAACTTTGCGGAAAAGCCAAAAAACCAGAACAAAAAGAAAGGCTTTTCCGCAACTTTGTGGAAAAGCCAAAAAAAAAAAATTAAAAATGAGAACAAAAAGAAAGGCTTTTCCGCATTTTGCGGAAAAGCCACAAAAAAAAACCCAGAACAAAAACAAAGGCTTTTTCGCAAAATTGCGAAAAAGCCAAAAAAAAACAGAACAAAAAGAAAGGCTTTTTCGCAAAATTGCGAAAAAGCCAAAAAAATCAGAACAAAAACAAAGGCTTTTCTGCTGTTCAGCGGAAAAGCCAAAAAATCTTAACGAAAAAACAAAGGCTGTTTCGGCTGGTTGCCGAAACAGCAAAAAAATCATGCGTTTTCAAAATCTGAAATCACATGAAACTAGACTTATGTTTGTGGACAAACACATAGCTGTTTCGGTTATTTTTTGTGACATGTGACATGTGACAAATAAAGTTTCAAGTATAAGTTCCATCCAGGAAGGATGTGTAGTTCTGTTTATAACTGGTGGCATATAATAATGTGATTACATTCTCATATGTCTTTGAATTATGACGTCACATGTGACGTGATGACATCATGATGACATCACACCAATTTTCATCTGTAACTATATTTTTGTTTGTAAGTAACAACTTAGCCATAGCATACATCATTGAAAGCAAGTTCACATCTTTCACCAATTTTAAATTACAAGGCACTTCCGGTTTCAACCGGAAGGAAAGGGTCACGTGATTTTGCACATAATCTAAAAAATGAAGACCCTGGATTATTCTATCCATTCCCGCAAAAGTCAAGTTCAGGTCTCTCACAGTTGATTTTATATTGATTTTCAAAGATTAAATCTATTAATTTTTAATGTGACGTCATGTGATCCATGATGACGTCATCGTGACGTCACTTCACTTTTCATCTATAACACATCCCGGTTAAGGTACATACCAAGTTTCAACCTTATCGAACCTGCATTTATGGAGATAGAGGCCTTCAAAATATGGACCTATATTGTGACGTCCCTTCCCTCCCTTGAGTCTTTCGGTGCTACTCTGCAAATGTACATATAGGTGAACAGAGGTGAGGTGTTTTCTGTAATGGAATTCCTAAAATCCAAAGGGATTTTCCATTCTAGTAAGAAAACACTCACATCTATTTACCATCCCTCCCTTTTTGAGGATTACTTAAAAAAAAGAAATGGACGAGCTATTGTGCTACGGGTCCTTAATGGGGCATGCAGTGGGCGTGAAGGGTGTGGCTTGGGCGGATTTTAAGAAATCCATCGTTGGATCTGTGACTAGTGAATGATATCCAGTACAATGTTGACCTTGGGCATCCAAATTATGTGACATCATCAGACCAAAAGTTAGGTGTTAGTAATACATCTACATGGCACACTTAACAATCGTTACAATTTCTAAATTTTCGAAATTTCATTTAACTTGTATCATCTCTAAACTGAATCAGTACTCATTTTGAACATTTTAAATGATGACGTCATCAAACCGGAAATAACATGTACATTTTAAAAAAAGACATATCTGTATTGTAATTCATAACTCCAAAAAGATGCATTTTACTTTCAAAACAAAACAAGTGGCTGTACTGCAAAGATTGAATTTCGTGATCCTTTTCTGTTCTGACAAAAATATTTACAACATAACTGGGCAACGTTCAATGAAATAGTTGTCTGCTCAATCACTCTGCATTTGTAACTCCTCAAATGCAAATCTCTAGTTTTTGTATTCTTGTCTTTTTACATGTTAAGTGGCTCGCAACTGCATCAAACAACATGATTCTGACAGCCAAAGTTATCAAAAATACATGTAGCTTGCACCTGTTGATTTGAGAGTGGTTCTTTCTGATGTGGAGGATAAGGCTCTCCGACAACTTGTCAATACTTGATGGACTACTGGCAAATCAACAGGAAGAGGGTTTGGTACAGCATGAAAGGGCAGTCTCAAAACCACTGTCGGAACATTTTGTAGTTGAAGCACATATTATCTGGTATGTCTGAAAAGAAAGAAATAGAAAAACCAAGGCAACTGGAATCTAACATGACACATGGCAACCGGAACCAATATTTAGCAGTGATATGAAGGCCTGAAAGTGAAGATACATGTAGGCATGGCGTTACTTGCTTTTAAAGGTTCTGCAGATGAATGCTGTTTTCATCCCAGTTTACTGATTTCAAATACAGTTTCTCTACATACTGGAGTCCAGATGTCTACTGGATGAGGGGAATGTTGCATTGCATTGAAGTCAATTAAACAAATCAAACTAAAGTTAGCATGAATGTGGACATTCAAATGTAAAAATATTGCATTAACACACTACCTTGCAGTCTATTGTTCTTTTGTTATGTCATCATTTTGGCCTAATAATTAATTAGACAATTTTGTGGCCACCATATCTCAGCAATATGATAACGTATAATACCACTTTTTTGTATATTGCATCATAGTGTACTGAAGGTGTGTCTGCTGAAATGTCAAAGGCATGTGACCCTTCCGGTGTTACCAGACATGCATTAATAGTATAATTGTGTGGTAATTTCTTTTTAATTTTGTAGGTGAACCAGTTACCTTTTCCCTACAGTACCTCGGAACAATTCCAGCAAAGTGTCAGAGCACCAGTAGGTAGCACATGGAACACACCATCAGTTTTCAAGCAACTCACTGTTGCAAAGGTAAAAACTAAGATGGGAGCAATTATAGAGCCAATCAGTAGTGCTGATGCTTTCAAAAAAGCCAGGAAGAGGAAAGCACCCAACCCAACACATCGTTGTTCTAGTATTGAGAAACAACGTAAATTTGGAACCCAAAAAGAAAAAAGAAAATAATAAATCACCGAATCTGCATCCGTATCATGGAATCTTGCTTTGCAAGCGACTATTCCATAGACTAGGTTCTCATTTCAACTGACAAAAACCTGATGTGGGTCAGGGTTAAAGGGAATATACAACATTTACAAACATAAAAAAATTACAGCAAAAGCAAATGTTGTATATTCCCTTTAAAGTTTACTTTTTAATTGAAAGTTCTTAAATGACTGTTAGTTAGCACAGACCAAGTTGAGACTTGCCAGTTTCAACAATTTGAATGCATTTAGCAAAAACGGCCTTTAATAGACTATTTACAATAACTCACTCTCAGATGGTGTCTCTTGCTTTCCCATGAGTGTATTAATTATTTGCTGTAGTAGTAGTTGTAAAAGAAGTGGTAGTATTAAAAGTTTTACGATTATTATATTTTTAATTATGATTATAATGATACTTTTTTTTCTCTTTGGACATAGTTAAGGTCTCACTTATTTTAGGTCCAATCAAAAATTCATCACATCATAATGGTACAGTACCACAGCATAACAAAATAGTGCAAGCATATCACCAAATTAGACTGAGAGCTGGATAGGGTTTAATCAAAATTTTGGGAACAAATCCCCTGATTGTCTTAAAGCATAGTATCATCGACCCTGATCACAGAATGGCCAGTCTTAAGTTTCGCTAGATTAGACAAAGGCCCATTGGCGCCATGCCAAATGGGGCCAATTTTGCATTAGTTTGATAGCTTGGAACTTGTAGATTATGGAAATATAACTTAAGAGCGAATTTAGATCAGACTAGTTAACTTCAGAGCAGCCCGAAAAGCGCGGAGGGTGGGCGTGGCCGTCACTCCCTCTTTTTCCTTTTCGCTGATACCGTTGCAACGCATAGGGGGAGGAGAAAATGGAATCAGTTTGTATTGATGCCTTGGCACTTCTGGAACATGAAAATATTACTTGAGAGGCTATTTTTAGGTCAGACTAGTTACCTTAAGACCGGCGGGAAAAGCCAGAAAGGGGTGGGGCCTCAAACTCCCCCCCCCCATGTACATTTTGGCTCCCTACCGTCGCAAAGCATTTTGTAAATCCTGCCAAGTTTCTGTGACAGTTGTTCAGATGCCTTGTGGTTATTTTGACACCAGGTTTATGAAAATGTGGCGTACCTTCATCACAAAATGTTCAAATGTTAACTTTTCCCATTGAAAAATTTAAAATGGGAAAAATTAAAAATGGGAAAATGAAACAATTTTTATTGATGCCTTGGCACATGTGGAACATGAAAATATAATTTGAGAGTGATTTTTGGTCAGACTAATTAACTTAAGAGCGGTGCAAAGGGCGTGGAGGGGGCGGGGCCGCAAGCCCCCTCCGTGTACATTTTGGCTCCTATCGGCGCAATGCATTTTTTAAAATCTTGCCAAGTTTCTCTGACAGTTGTTCAGATGCCTTGCGATTATTTTGACACCATGTTTATGGCAATAGGGCATACCTTCGTCACAAAATGTCCAAATACCAAAACAGCTGCTTAAATGCTTACTTTTCCATTAGAGCATGTATAACGTACATGCAGAGGGTGCATGCATATGAGACCACTATAACAAAACGTTTCAACAGGTTAAATTGAAACTTCACAGATGTACTACACATATTCTGGTGTCCAATAATAATAATGACCGATGTGGAAAGAGCATTTTAGACCTCCGTTGCCCTCAGCTGGGTCAAATTACTTTGTATATCTTAGTTAACTTCTCACTAATATAATTTTTATTCTTCAAAACGCAACATTTTTCGTGAACCAAGCCACAACTATAAAGTGAAAAAGAACGGCATTGCAACTATTATTCACTCATGTTCTAAATTCAGACCCAAAAGACAATGGGGTGCCCTCTGACCTCTATTTCTCTTTTTCTGGTGGCAGCCGCGACAATGATACGACTGGATGGAAGGCTGTGGACCGAGATGCCAAATTCAAAGCTTGGTGTGAGATAGTGCTATAGCAGCAAAAGGCATAAGCATATGGTTTTGCTTGATGGGGGGGGGGGGGGGCCATACTGCCCGGAAAGTTTTTGACAAAATTAATGAGACAAATTTCTAGTTATTGCAGTGCATGGGGCCGCAGTGTTTAATTCAAAGCAACAGATTGTGACTGATTTCTTTGTACGGAATGAAAGTAGCCACAGCGCTTTACCCAACCATGAAACATTATTTCTCGTTCGCGATAACCAGCAACATTTTGTAACCCTTTTACCAAATTCGCCAGTGCACTGTTGTCATGTTAACATTCAAGCCGCGCCTATACCTGTTTTGATATTTGGACATTTTGTGACGAAGGTGTGCCCTATTTACATAACCTTGGTGTCAAAATAACTGCAAGACATCGGACCAACTGTCAGAGTAACTTGGCAGAATTGAATAAGTGCATTGCGACGATATGAGGTCAAATGTACGTGGAGGGGGCTTGCGGCCCCACCCCTCCGCGCTCTTCGCACCGATCTTAAGGCAACTAGTTTGATCAAAAATCACTCTTATGTTATATTTTCATGTTCCACATGTGCCAAGGCATCAATAAAAATTGTTTCATCTTCCCATTTTTAATTTGAAGTACATTTGCACAGCTTCTATTCGATCTGTTAGTCGGCACTCTGATGCACGCTTTCATGTGCATGTTCTTTTCAATGGGAAAAAAATAACGTTTGGACATTTTGTGATGAAGGTATGCCACATTTTCATAAACCTGGTGTCAAAATAACCGCAAGGCATCTGAACAACTGTCACAGAAACTTGGCAGGATTTACGAAATCCTTTGTGACGATACGAGCCAAAATGTACACGGAGGGGGGGGGTGGGGGTTTGAGGCCCCACCCCTTTCTGGCTTTTCCCGCCGGTCTTAAGGTAACTAGTCTGACCTAACAATAGCCTCTTAAGTAATATTTCCATGTTCCAAAAGTGCTAAGGCATCAATACAAACTACTTTCATTTTCTCCTCTACCGTTGCGTTGCAACGGTATCAACGAAAAGGAAAAAGAGGGAGTGACGGCCACGCCCACCCTCTGCACTTTTCGGGCCGCTTTTAAGTTACTTAGTCTGATCTAAAATCGCTCTTTAGTTATATTTCCATAATCTATAAGTTCCAAGCTATCAAATGATACTGGTTTTGTTTTTGTTCTCAAAATTTTGATTAAATGCAAAATTGACCACATTTGGCATGGCGCCAATGGGCCTTCGTCTGATCTAGTGAAACTTAAGACTGGCCATTCTGTGATCAGGGTCGATGATACTATGCTTTAAGACAATCAGGGGATTTGTTCCCAAAATTTGATTAAACCCTATCCCGCTCTCAGTCTAAATGAATTTACATCTTAAAACAACCAGTTTGCGGGAGTAGAATGGGCTAAAGAAAGGAATGGAATTACAAATCCTACAAGTTAAATCTGAACTTTCCATTCTTTAACACACACAGTTTTTCCATTGTAGGAGTAAATGCTACCAAAAACATTTATCAAGTCCATTTTGTTCCTTTTTATTAAGAAATTTGATTTTCTCTTGTACTCTTTTAGAATAGAAACAGCTGGACTTTTCACTCAATTTAAGAATGACGCATTTTGCTGAAAGGTTGCAAACACTTGTAGGAAGCCCTGTTTCCTCGCAACCTTTCAGTGAATCTGCAGTTTGGCAATTCCATGCAAAAATTGACATGCCTGAAAATTGGAAAATGTTTGAAATCTTCAGAACTACAAGCACCACAGCCTGAAATGTGGTATTAAAAAAGGGGGACAAGTCCATTAGTGTTGTGCTAATGACATAAAATGTGATTAAATGTATTTTTCTGGTCATAAAATGGTTTGGGGGCTAAAATTCTTGACGTTGGCATCTTGTTTGCATATGTAACTTGTAAGTGGTATTGTGAGTTTTGTTTTTTAGGGCAGAGAGAAAGATTCATATGTTATAAAAAATAAGACAGAACTTAGAATGCCATGGTTCAGCTAATTTATTTATCGTTTGCATGATGTTGATATACATGCCGTAACGTCTGTAATGTTATAATGTAACGTCCCATAACAAAAATATGATGTACCAATAACATCAAAATAGATTGAAGCTATATTTTCCACAACATAGTAATGTCTTTAAATTCTTGCAAGAAATTTCACAGACTTCAAGTAAACTTTTGTCTTCAAGCATTACGTCCATAATAGTGTTTATACATCTCATTAAGTAATTCAGCTAACACTACATTAATTGTCATGTTGTTCATTAAGGCCTGAGCTAGAGTTGTACCAAATATATTAAATTTGCTTTCATTGCAAATATTTTATTTTGTTGTTTTAGATTGGTCTTAGGCCCTTAATGTAAAGTACGTCACAATGGAATTTCCCACTTTTGTCTTCAGCCACCTGTTACAAGATCTGCGTTATCAGATTTTAAAATTCATAACATGAACTTTCTGTCGGGGTGATATAAAACCAGCCAACCCTGGTCACACGAATGAAGTCATGTGACCCTTAAAAAACATGTACTGGAAATCTGTTGCTACATAGCCTCAGTATTCCTCCTCTATTGTGTTGTGATAGAGGCACTTGCAGAATTTGTTAAGATGGGTACTCCCTTCTTAACGGATCTTAACAGATCTTAACAGATCTTAACAAAAGTTGCAAGCTGTAATTTGTTTGATGATTTGAAATATACTAAACAAACAAGTTAGAAGATCCTCAACCCATGCAGGCAAAATGAAATGGGAACTCTAAGAAACAAGAATGACATGTGCATGCGCATGTAGGCATGCATGGGTGAGAACACAAAGGAGGAAAAGAAGGAATTACTAGAAGGCAGACAATGGGAGCAGAGAACAAAGTGGTGTGATTAGACAGGAAAAGGCAAGAAAAAGGATTGTGAAGTTGGTAATTAGGAATGACGAAGGAAGTTATAAGTGCAAAGAGGAATAGCCAGGAGGAACACGGAGGGATTACGTGAGATTACGCTGACCGAGCCTTCAGATAATGTGTAGTGTCTCGTGAACACATTTACTATGAATATCTATAGGTAGGAACCCTACCGGAATGATATCCCTTCAGGGTGGGCATCACCTTTGACAGCAGGGAGGGCACGTAATCCCTCCGTGCTGTAATACGGCTCGGTAGAATCCCAATCAAACAGTTCAAACTTCACTACTGTGAAGTCGTTTAATTTTAGGATTCTACCTCACCTTGTATTATGTCACTCTGTGACCATGTGAGATGTTCAAAGCTATGTGTGAATGAGACGCCGAAGCAATGCAAAGTCATCAAATTAACAGCAAGTCAGACTATCAGCTTAAGTCAATACAAATCACTGTTTTTAATGTCTTTTTATACAACAAAAACATTATTACAGTTAAGTTCTATAGTGATAAATGAACTCATACTCTTTCTGTTTACTTTATGCAATCAGGCATCTTTAAAGTCACAGATAACAATAAGGTTCTGGGAACCATTAATTACATGCCTCACACTGCCTAATCCGTGGATTCAGAATACTTAAATGAAAATAATGTAGCCAAGTTCTGTTTATTTTGTAAACTAGTGCATTAATTTCACCTTTTAACGTTTTAATTCTGAAGTTAACAAAGATAACTTTTGTTGCAATAGGTCTTACTAACCCCTGCTAATCGGTGTATGGTTTTAAAGGTAATATACATCATTTGCTTTTGCTGTAATTTTCAGAAATGGATGGAATTGGGGGGTTGGAAATATATAGCAAATATAGTTACACTGACTTTTTTGAGGTTTTGTGTTTGAAAATGCTATAAAAACCAAGAAAAACGATCATTTTCCTGTAGTCTGGTTCCCTGACTCCATATAAGAAGAAACAGAGCCTTTAACATACATTGGGGAATTGTAAGGTCAGGGAACCAGTCTAGCTGGCTCGTACCCGTTCATAGGTTTGTAATCGATTGCAAACAAGTGCGATGGTCATTTGGGGCCAGTATTTGAAAAAAAGCCAGTTGTTTCCAACGCTGATCGGCCGATCAGCGTTGGAAATTGATAAAAAAATACCACTTCTCTTGAAAATGACAGTATACCAGGTGCCATGATTTTACAGGATGCTTTACACTGTCATTCACTAACAGTCCAGCAAGGTATTTCAAAATGATTTGGTAGTTTTATTTTTTGATGTTTGCAAATGTTGTATTTTCCCTTTAAACCAAAAAAATGTTATTACAGTTAAGTTCTATAGTGACAAAAAGAACTTATACTTACACATCTATAAAAGCACTGATAACAAATAAGGTTCTGGAAACCATAAAATAAATGCATTATTCTGCTTAACCTGTAGATTCAAGATAATTAAATTGTAGCTAAGTTCTGTTGGCTTTGTTAAAGATATAGTCCATCATTTGTAATTTGTGCATTTTGTTCGTTTAAAGCAACAAACGTGTTCAAAATCTAATGAAGGATACTAAACAACTAACCTGATGAAGTTTCAGCTCAGCTTCAGCTGTATATTCCAAGAAAAACAGCATTCTAGGATCTCAATTTCAAATCAAAAGTTGCTGAATCATGTTTTGAATTCAGCGTCCGAGACGCGTTCTCACTGAGCCAATTGCAGCTATACGGGATGTCGCGCACTGATCCAACGAATTATAGCAAGTGCGTGTGCATCGTGCCAATGCTTGCGCGCGCTTCACCAAATTACAAAACGAACTACTAATTTAAATTTTCCTACGGTGTGTCTTAAGATGCGCCGTTGGAAAGGCCTTCTTTTGTTGATTACTTCATATGACAGCTTGCCAGAAAGAATCATTTCACAGGGAGTTTAGTCCCCTTACTATCTTTCAACCAAGTATGTTTTTCAACAATAATTACGCCAGTTAATTTTCGGATGGCTGCAAATGATGGACTATGGATTAACTAGCAACGGCATGATTGTCGCTAATTTCATTGTAAGCTGTTTCAATGTAAATTGCCCAAGTCTTCATGTTGTTCGATGTGTCATAAGACAAACTGACATCCCAGAGTCTATGATAGCGGGGAAGGCTGGGCGATAAGTGAAAACAGCATTTCAGCAAACGTTAAACGAGTGGATGCTGTCCAAACATCCGGCACTGCCGGCCGAGTTGTTAGTGTAGGTTTTCCTAGAGAACTCGCCAGTTGCATGAAACCCTCTTGTAATAATTCCCTTGCAAAGCA